GAGAGAGAGAGAGAGAGAGAGAGAGAGATAGAGGCAGACAGACAGACGACAAGTTAACGTGAACGTATCGGTGTAAGTGACGGGAGAAGATTAGTTGGCGTCTCCGTCTCGTTCGCAGGCGTCACCGTGACGCACAATGTAGAAGAGGGGCGGTTACCGTAGAGGGGAATGTAAAGCATCGGCAGCCAATAATGACAAACCGGTGATTATTTACTGCTGATAGCACGGATGCTACACTGGGCACCGGCGGGATCGTCTGTGAAACCTCAGGCCTGCAATGAAACTCGCCGCAAACAGAAAATCGCCACCGTCAACCTGTCACTGTTACTATATAACCTGTTACCGATAATGTGTGCTGTTGCTATAATCTAATACTGCTAATACTGCTAATCTAATATTGCCAATCTAGTCACGATCTGGCATTTAGGTTAACGCGTGACAGTCGTAAACGAGCGGTCATCGGTGGGGCCAGTCACTGACCGAGATGACGTGACGTAGGCGTAAGCCTTTGGTCAGTCTGAATTACTCCGCGGACTTTGGTCGTCACGTTGGCCGCGCGCATCCCGCTCCCAAATGAACCATCAGCTTTGATGAGTCTGACAGCCCTCCCATGGCTCTCCCCCCTACCCTTCCGCTCCTAAATTCTATGGCGCGTTTCCTGTAGCGGTGTCTGGCGTCTCCGCCGCTGCGGTCGTATACGTCTTTGTGTCTGTCTTTATGGCGGGGACCGGTACGGTAAGGAAACACGTGTGAGTGTGAGTGTGAGTGTAGGCGGGTGGGTGATGGGGTGATGGAGATCGATGGCGGGGGGGGGGTAAGGGGATGGATGTTATAAACGGTCGGCCGTGCGTGAGTGCGTTCGTGCATCCGTGTATGTGCGTGTGTGTGTGTGTGCGTGAGTGCGTGTGTGAGTGCGTGCGTGTGTGTGTGTGTGTGCGTGCACGTGCGCGCGCGCGCGTGTGTGTGTGTGTTCGTGCGTGCGTGTGTTCGTGTGTGTTTGTACGTGTGTGTGTGTGTGTGTGCGTGCGTGCGTGCGTGCGTGCGCGCGCGCGTGTATGTGTGTGTGTGTGTG